TTAGGCAAGAATCCAGCGGTCCCTCCATATAAAGATAAAATATTTTATAAGAAAGTCCCTTTGAAAATTTGTATATTTAAACTTTGGGTTTCTTATTATTTATTACGTTTGCAAATACAATTTATAAATTCGTATAAATAGTAGTTTTTTAGGAATGAAGTATGGGTTCCGAAAAATTTCAATTAGTGATCAGCGAAAATTTGCGCCAAATTCTATTATGAAATTATTGCAGTTGTTTCACGTATCACGAATTAATTTATTTATTTTACTATTTTGCTCTTTCATAAAAAACTTATTATATAAAAGGATATAGTTCCTAATGATTATGTTTAGATACAATAAAAGCTACGCATTCTGACAGTAATTCATCATCTAATCGTTTATAATTAAATAAAATAGTAATAGTAAATCTTAACTTTAGTCTACTTTTATACAAAGTATAGGAGACTTGCTCTTTCCTTAGTGACAAAATTTTCTGGCATTACCCATTTCCCAATGATCTACAAATCTCAGCAAGTATTTCAAAATGACGTTTTCTTTGATTATTATAATCTTTTTCGAAGAAAAAATTAAGTTTAGAAGGATATAATATTCATTATAATAGCTGTTCGCCATCGATAATAAAACTGTATATCTTATTGATGAGGCAGGTTTGGCAAATTGACTGGTCCATTGAGAACTGATGGACTTTGAGCTGGTCCATTGCCATTAATAAAATACTAAATATAGTTAAAATGTTACACTAATGGACCCAATAGACCATCAATGGACCACCAATGGACCACACATTCACCAACCCTGTGATGAGGTATATGGATGATGATGATAATAACATAAATTCGAATTATTTCTCAACCAATTAAACTCCGATACATGTAAACTCGATAAGTCGGTCATTTATTTATACTTTAATTGATTGCTACGTCCGACTTATTGAGTTTACATGTGTATCTGCAGAAAAAATACTAAAATGCAACATAATACGCGTATTTGAATTCCATGCGATCATAACTTTTACATCGTTAGAATTAGTTGATCTCTTGTGCAAAGATTATTACTACAATTGGAAATGTCTAATTGAACAAAATGACAACAACAACAACAACAACAATATCAATTATAGAGTCCTTAGGCTTTAAATATTCCAGTAACACCAAAATTAGCATTAGACATTTGATTTCATTTTGTCATCGTCTCTTCCTTGCATATATGTAGATCTTGTAGATATTACAGTATTTTGTCATACCTTTTTTACTAACAATTAAATTTATTGATTAATGTGGCAGAGCCTTTGTCATATTGATCGAGATGTTAACCTCAATTCTTGCCAGTAAAGTAATCTGGTCAACTATTCGATTTTAAGAATTTGGATTGTTTGTTGTGTCATTTGTTAAATTCTGTAAAATTAAGGGTTTACAATTCGGAAATCACACAAATTTAAATAGTGACGAGAAAGAATCTGCAGCTGAACTGGGAAAAAATGATTGCTCAACAATTTTTCACTTGAGTAGGTACCGTTAATATTAATTGAAAGTAGGAAACAATTTTTTTGTAATTAATAAATCTAAATATAAATATAATTTAATTTAGGTGCATCTGCAGCATATTTACGTCTACATCTGGATCTGACGCACAACAACAATAATAGTAATAATCTCATTAACAAATACAACTGATAGTAATGCAGTCATCGTATTTACCAATAATATTATTTTTATTGTTGAAGGACTTTCTACTAGTGATTCAAGAAAATAATAATGAAGCAACATTCACTAATGCATAGCGTGCGTGCACAACGCACACACTATCTCATAATATACATAAATATAATACTAATTTAAAAATAAAACCATTATTACTATAATTACATTAATACTTGTTATAGTTTATTGTTGTAAAGTATTGCTTTGTAAGTTTGCTGTTGAAAGACATTGATTTACAACTTCTAATAAATGTGTATTTTCCAAAGCTGCAGCAACTCGTTCTTTATCATTTAATTGTTTATTAACTAAGTTTAATTAAATTATTATTAGCATAACAAAATTAATTTAACCAATTTGATCGATTTTAATCGATTATTAATTATTAATCTTTCTCAATATATACACACATACCAGCTTGTTCTGACTGATGAGACCCTTTCCTAACATTTATATCAACTTTAAATCTTTCTGGTAAACTTCTTAACAACCTAACACGTATGCACAATCCAATCAATGTAGCCATGGAACAATGAGGTATGGTTGGTGTGAACTCGATTACAATATGATTATTCTGGTCATCTATACTGACATGCTCAAGTTGCGTCACATTCAATTGTTCAAGAGTTAACGGATGTTCTGGATCTGATATCGATCTAATTAAATCTATGAAAAAAAAAGGAATTTAGTATATTGTAGAATGGAATAAGTAGCATATAGTTTTATTCATACATTATTATTTTATTTTAATATAATAATAATATTTTATCATTAATATTATTATTAACCTATATAGTTCTTATATACCAACCAAAAACCTCCTGAGAATCAATAGCATCTTCAATATTTTCATCCTGATCTTCTATTTTCAAAACTCTGTGAGAAGTTTTGGAAGGTGTATAAACTGTTGGATTTGCATTTAAAACTGCCATTATTATAAAGAAAGTTTTTTTTAAAAAAAAATACTTGTTTATATTAAAAATTGTAACTTGATCTGCATATCCGAAACCAATAGCCAATCAAAATTTAACGCCAATGAATTGCCAAGTACATATTTATTTAATTATTAAAAAGTTCGTCCCCAATAAAGAACAAGGTTCCAATATAAAATCAGCGAAAGATTATTTTGACCAAACGATGAATTAAAAAATAAAGAATTTGAAATTTGATTATTTATTCAAATTAAAAAGCAGAAAAATATTTCAAATGTGTATCAAATAATGGTTTTTTTGAATTCCTCAAATAGTGAATGCCCTTAAATTGGAAGTTTAACCTGTTTCACTTTTTGACGTTTAGTAGATGTTGTCATACATGATGGAATTTCAAAAATTCATTGGACAAACCAGCTTGTTGAAATGATACACTTTCATTTTCCTTTGTTATTAATTGTTTAGGATTTACTAATTTGATACTATAATTATCACATAAAGATCAATATAGGAAATAAAAATAGTACTTCAGATTTAGCACTGTTGCCAAAATTCCAAAGACGTTTGATAAATTTCCTTCTGTGTCTAGTACCTCTATAATCTCACTATGATATATCCTTCTGTGTTATCCATCCTAACCATTATAATTAATCAAGACAATTATTTATTATATTAGGGTTTACACTTTCATCAAAATGGTTGCGCGACCAAAAATAACATTCCAGATGTTGTACCATTTTCATCTTTCAGGTTAAAGCAAGCTTTCTTGTATAGCCATTTTTAAATTAGAAACATGATTTGACAGTTGTAAAAAAATTCATCAAATTAAAACTTACAGTGAATACAAATCAATTCTAATACAATCTATTTAGTCATATGTTAAGTGAAGATAATTATTACTAAATTAGGGTTTTAACCCCTTTATGCTACCAGCCCTGTTTTATACCCCCAATATTAAAATGCAGTTTTTATAATCAAATTTTTTGAAGCCACTTCTATTTAAATTGCTCCAATAATCTGAACTTTTATTTTAACCAGGTGGATACTCATTACCACTAAGCCTCAGATTTTTAACTGCTGCTTATTCATTTTAGTTTTTTTTTATATAATAATAAGTTAAGTATAATTTTGATTTGTGTGTTTTGTAAACCTGGTGTTCAGAGATCTTGTAAAGTCTGAGGGGATTCATCTCCTTGTGGGAGAATGTGACTTCTTCTTCTGTGTGTTGAACTGGATAGCCCATAGTGACTTTTGAAAGACGTATAAAGTTCTGATTCTTTGAGTTAGAGTTTCTGAGGCATGTAAAGGCCAGTGGTGGGTGGATAGTGTGTATTTGTCTTCTGGTGTTGCTACGAAACAACTGCTATCATGGCTACCTATGATCTATGCAGTAGCTTTATTTGTCGGAAGAAAGTTTCAGGTTAAAGGCAGAAATGTTACTATAGAGAATTTTTATAATAAGACTTTTATATTCTTTTTTTTTTGACCTACTGTATTTGAATTATAAAGTTTTAAAGTTGACAGATATTTTCATTATGGTTTGTATTGATCAAGCATTTGGATACTACTACTTAGCTGGGAATAACAATTTAACATTAACATTAATATATATACTTCAATTCTACCATTAGGTGCAAAGTTATACAGAAATATTGGAAGATGTTTTAGCAAAAGGGTATGGTCTTACTAAGTTTTTGGGAAAATAAATTTTCCATTTTCAGAAAAACAACAGGCATGAAAGATTTTATTCGAAGCTTTGAATATTATTGTAAATGAGAATGGTAAACAAGCCTCAAAAGCTCATTACATTCTTGACAAATTTGATGCACACATCAATCATCAGAAAATTTTTTCTGATGTGGATATACATAATTATTAGACTATTTACATAAGTTTACAGCAGGCCCTGTAATATTATGCAAAAATCATACAAAAATCATGCAATTATTACATTGAGTGAAATATTACATAATTTTTTATGCAAATATTACAACTTTACATATTAAAATTTATGGATGTAATATTATGGTGGGGAAAATTTCCAACAAGGTTAAAAGCTTTTGGGAAAATGTCTGTTTACAAAATGAACAAGTCAAAACTCATAATAATCAATTGTTATTAACTGAAAAAAAGGTAAATACATTGCACCATTCACATCTTCAAAATGATGATATGGTTATTTACATTTTTTCTTTTAGGAAAAACCAGAAACAACAATTCATACAAGTCGAATCTAATATAGTTGATCAGCATTTCATTGCAAGTGATAAGCTATTATCTGAGCATAAGGTTTGTAAATATAGTTTCTAGTTCATTGATCTTCTAATTAAATATCAATGAGGTTCAGTTTCTGTATAATAATTTGTTATGTCCATTTAGGAATATATATCCACAGCTGAGAGATCTAATCAAGAAAATGTTGAGAAAGATGTACCAATGATGAAGAAGTTATGGAAGAAATGCAAAATTCAGATTATGAGGAGTTTATGGAAAGATACCAAAAAATGGATAATGATAGGAAATGGAAATTAATGACTGGAAGGATAGTTGAAGACAGTCTCTATGAATTTGGGATGAGGTGTAAGTATGAACAGTAAGTATTCACCACATTTTAAATGATGCTTGCTTGCTTGTTTCTAATATTTAACATCAGAAATTTCTGATTTGCCAAAGTCTATGCATTTAGGTATTACATATCCTACAGAGCCAATTCTTATTAATGCAGCCACCAGTATTCTACTTGGTAAGAACAAAGACATTTTGCTCAACTTTTTCTTTGTTGAATGATGATATGTTAAGGGGAGTCATTGATGGTGGAAACAGAGGCGAGCTTGTGGCTAGGATAATCTTGATACTTGTAAAAGATTTATATTTGGTCAGATAAAATTGCAAGGGGACCATTTTGATACCTTCATTCTATTACAGTACATGAATATCTAATATTGCTTTTTGGTGATACAGGTTTTAAATAACAGAATCACTCTTTGACTATTGATGGTGAGGTTCTGGCATCCTCTTGAAGAAGTATCAAGAATATGCAGACATTCTAATTCTAATATTTCTTGGATTTGATGTTAAAAACAAAACTTCAGGATGTCATACAAGTTAAAAATCTTCAGGAATCAATTGATCCCAATTATCCTCAAACTGCAACCAATAATCTTCAAGATTATCTTTTATTTGATGATGCAAAGGAACAAAATGTACCTTATGTTACCATCTACATGGACTTTGAGAATGAATAAAAAAGGGTGATAAAATCAGAGTACAACTGGCATCAGACACGAACTTACATGCATCCTGGTGATAATCCCACAAAACAACAAAAATATGCAGCAGTTTTAGGATTTAGTGCTGATATATATCCATTTTTCTTAGCATTACCTGAAAATATAATCAATGAGTTGGATTTGTTGTTAAAAAGTGATATGGACCATGAGCAAATCGTTGAAACAATGCAAGGTAGTCAGAAAGAATGGAATATATATGTTTCTAAAAAGACATTAGAGGAGATTATTAAACCTCATGGCCTTAACTTAATAATAAGAGTTGTAATTCAACATATTGAAACAAATATATATATATACATATATTAATCAATTGCTTATAATGAATAACAATAAACTTGGAATTTAAATTTAATTGAAGTGAAGGCATTGTTGATATTTAATAAATCTTTTCAAAACACATGACTTTATTTTATTCAATAAACCTTTGTTATATGCGATTTATCTAAGTAACTTTTTGTGACATAATGTTCACTTTGTTGCAGGATGACCCATATTAAAAATGAATGAATTGGAAGAATTGAAATTTTTGAAATATGTACGGTTGATCTTTTATCACGTGATAACAGTTAAGAAAAAAATTGAGAACAAAATTTTTACTTTTTTCTACTAATTATTACATACTTTTTTATCTATAAGTACATATTATCTGGATAAAATTACGCACTTGACAATCTTCACAAACACGTGACAATAAAAATTTTTGATTGTAAATTTTTTCTCAAAAATTGTCACCGTGGCGCAGAAAGTTGTAGGGACTAGGTGTCTTGACTATATAATACGCGTAAAAATTAATAATTTAAAAAATCTAAAAAATTTTTTTAAAAGACATAAAACATAAAAAAATGTCTTCAAGAAGATCAACAATGTCATATAGAACCTCTTATAGCTCAATTAGTTCTGAAATTATTAGTGACAACAGAAGTGACAACAGAAACAGCATCAATATTGAATATACTACATCCAAACGAAGAAAAGATTTTGAACACACTTTAAGGGACTGTGATGAAATATTAAATTTCATTGTACGTGGATATGTGTATGCAACCGAAGGTGCTGTTGATTTAGAAGGAGTTGGTTGTGAGAATGAGGTTGATAAATATTAATTATTCATCAATTAGTTTTGATTAAAATTTTTGATAATATATATATCGATATTAATTAATTAATTAAGGTAAAACGATTTGATGATAATATGAGAGAACTTATAGATGTTGAGACTAAATTGAAAATAGAAAGAGAATCATTAGAAAAAATTATTGTTAAATGCGATGCAGGACAAGAAATTGTAATATTTTATTTAATCATAATAATTTATAATAAAATAATACTTATATATACGAATCTTTATATTTTAAAAAAAGGACTTTTTGGATTCTCATGAAGAAGAAGTAAAAAGATTAAACATAATTTTTGATGATAGAAGCGAAAAAGAAAAATATTTTCAAAATGAACATTATAATGAATTTAAACAAAAAGTTTGGGTAAACTTGATAGAACATAATTGATATAATATTTATTATTTATTATAATTATTATTATTAAATTTCAATTATTCTTACATACAACCAATTTGGCTAAATAAGGAAGTAAACCATCAAGATGAACCAATGCCACCATTAGATGCTGATGCAGATGATGATATTGTAGTTGGTAGACAAAAAGAGTCATTAAAATGCCCAATCACTACCTTGTTATATGAAGAACCAGTCACAAGGTAAAACTTAACCATTCATAATAATGATGAAGAAGAAAAAGAAGATATTAAATAATTATTAATATTGCTTTATTCTATAAATTTAGTAATGTTTGTAAACATACATTCTCAAAAAGTGCAATTTTACAACTGATTTCACGCAATAGAGATGTTGTTTGTTGTCCAATACCTGGTAAAATAATAACTATTCTATCATTGTTTCTGTCATTATTCTATCACTGTTAATTTAATTTAATCAAATCAATTTAGGTTGTGATAAACAAATAATGTCACATAATCTTATACCAAATAAAAGAATGGAAAGAAAGGTTGCTCATTTCATTGCTGAGAGAGATGATCAAATGGAAGATTTAGAGGTAAACTAAAAATTATATAATCTTTTAATATTAATCAATTAATTTGTCAATTAATAATACTAATGATATAAGCTTTATTTTGTTTTAGTATACAAATGTTGAATAGTTAATATTATTATTATTATTATTAAGAGGGAAGAAAGCTATGTGTAATAACGATATTAACTAATATACAATATATATACATAAAATAAAAAATTGATAATTAGGATCCTCTTCAACAAGACTTTTTCATATGTTTTAAAACGAGAAGGAAAAATAATTTTACACCTTTTATCAAATATCATCATTTTCATTCATTATCTAAAATTTCATGATTGAACAAACATTTTTATCAAGATTAGATTTTTTATTTCTTTCCCTTTAGATTAGATTCTTCTACTTCTATTTCGTTTCGTGATGTCGATGAAGTTGATGGTTGTGTTAAATTTTCTCTAAAGTGTAAATTTTTTTTTTATATTAAGTTTCTTTATTCTTTTTTTTTTTTTGTCAGATATGAAACATTTTAGTAGCATTTACCTTTTATATTGCTCAAAAATCGGTATCCAAATGTATAACCCAGATGCTACACCTACAACAGCAGCAATTAAAATTGGCGAATGTCTGCCAAAAAAAATGCTCATGATTTTTGATTTACGACAAAAATTTTTTGGAGATCAACATCGTGCAAACACGTGAACATAAATAATCCCCTTGTTTAAAATTTTGATAATTTTGATTGATTTCGGAAGTTCTGATTATGAGGCTATTAACAAAATTTCTTATTAGAAAATGAATAGAAGTTTGCCTAAACTACTAAATTTCGGAAAGTTAAAAAAAAAGTAAAATGCCGAAATTTTAGGCATAATTATTTTTGCCGAAACTAAATTTATATGCCAAAACCAAATTTACATGCCAAAACTATGTGCCTAAATTAAATTTATATGCAAAAACCATAGATAGCTACTAAACTTTATTATATTTTATCGCATGACAATGAATAATTTAAAATTTAACATGTAGCTGTAAAAATTTTTTTCGGAGTTTCATGCATTTCTATTGAAAAGTTCCATGTGTCTAGCCACTCTTTTGAAACCAGAGTTAGACTTAAAGCTCTGAATGAGTTGGTTTGAGGCAACTTAACATTTCATAAAACGTATAAATCAAATTCGAGCTCAACTTGACTAGGCTCGACCCATTCGGAGCTTTACACTTAATCAACAAATTCCAAAAGAAGCTTGTATTATAATACTAATATAATAATTTTTAATGAATAATTTATATTTGGCAGAAATAATATTTTAATGATTCTAATAGCAGAAGTAAGCAGCAGATTCTTGGTATGATCACCAGCAGATATTTCATTGTCCCTGAATTCTAGTTAATTTACTTTTTTTTTTTAGTTATTTTGATTAAATTTATAACAAAATTAAGAATAATGCAAATGAAACAGGCAGAGCTTGAGGATGATGTTTTTATACGCAGCAGATTCTTGGTATGACTGCCAGATTTTTATTTTTTTGGCTGGTCCAACCTTGTCCAATGCCAACCCTGCTTTGTGGGTGCATATGTGAAAATTTGTCAATGAAAATACTAATTTGATTGGATTTTCAATATGCAACACAATCCCAACATTGATACTGGTTGGTGGTGACTTGAGCCAAGTGACTAAAGTTAAGTTGGTGATCAAAGTTAAGACAGGTGGCTAAAGTTAAGTCATTATGTCAAATTACATGAAAAAGACTAATAACACTTTAGTTAAGTCATGTTGACCAACCTTAGCCAGCCCTGCTTCAGACCAACAAGAAAATCTCTATGCACTAATTTATAGCTTATTTCATCTAATAAGAATATAAGTGATTTGGCTATTCTATTGTCACTTCTTCTTGGGCTTGGTAGCCCACGAATATCTGCATAATTTTCAAGGAAGTTTTTTTCTACCCTGCAACATTTTATTTTGTTTTTTTTTCTTCTTCATGTTACCATGAACTCTTGATACAAGTTCATTGTTTGTCAGATGATTGCTGATATTTTCAAAGTAAGTCCTACCATATTAAAATAAATTTCTTGACAAAGATGTGTATTGTGACCCTAGTAGTAGGAAGTACTTTCATTAGATCTGGTTTTCTTTTTAAGGAGTCTGGTGGTGCTTATTAATGCTCCATATGAGTCTATTCTTTAAATTAGCTTGCTGGCTTGCAAGCCAGCTCAAACTAACATTCTGGATCGTGAGTTGGTTGGACTTGACCATATATATGTATGTATTAAGTATATAAATAAATTTAGGAATGGTTATCTAAATTTTATTTTTTATAACCAGATCAACCAGATCTATAATAACACATTATAAAAAACTTTACAAAATTATTATTATGATTTCAGCCAGTTTTTGTGACACATAAATTCTAGCTTTACTTTTTAAACCACATCTTTGTTGTACTACTAAATCTGTTCCTCCAGGGAATATTCATTCTATTGGTGCACTTTTAGCTAACATAACAAACAATAATATAAATATATACCTGGTATTGCTAAATAATCTTGGGCCATTTTGGATACTGATTTTCATTTATCTATATTAATATACAAATATGAATAACTAACTAGAGTTTCTATTCGTAATACAAATTCTTATTTTTAATACAACTCAACCTTGAACTGTTCATTTGTTTAATTTGAATTGTTTGTTTATTTGTTTTATATAAATTACAATAATTATACTAGTACTATGACTCAAGGAATGTTAATTACTTCTGCTACAAGAACTACAAAGGAAATCTAGATTGATATTAATTGGATTGGATTAGCAACATGCATGTTTATTCGAATAGAAGCCCTATTAACTAATATTGAGTTATATAACCATGCTGGTTATTCTCGATGACATTTAGTGGCTTACAAAAGGATGCAAAACTTGTTTAATAAAGAATAGTTTGGAATTTAATGTAGTGTTTATATAAGCTTTAAGATGCCATTGTGATATTGGTTGGCTGGAGAAATAATCATCAATGTCTGCGTTTACAGAAATTTTGCATTCCATGGTTTTCAGATTTTATGATTTTAAATTAAAAATTAATATTAACGCGTCATATAATCTCCTCAATAAATGTAGTATCGGATTGACAACTGATTAAACGCATAAACATGTTAAATTTGAGTACAAGTACATTTCCCTCAAACACGTAAGTAATCAAAGTGGATTGGATATTAGAGTGTTAGTTAACTAATGACACATTAATCCAATCACAACAAACTTTTAAAGCCTTTTACGAGAGTCTCGTAGATGGTGCTTCACTTTTACACTATCCGGAAAAGTGGAGATCCATGAAAAAGGAAACAAAAAAATTATTTGGTGTCGACTTTTAACATGCCAGGTTTATTTATTTAATCTTTTGTATATATATTTTTTTACACCGGTCCCGTTTACTTTGTCGAAAATTATTTCGTCGACAATCGCTTCGTCGACAATCGCTCCATCGACAATCATTTCGTCGAAAGTTCGTTTCGTCGAAAGTTTGTTTTGTCGAAAATTATTTCGTCGACAGTTCATTTCGTCGGTTTATGTATCGTACTAATGATAAATGAGGTGATGATAGTGATGGCAACAATATTGACATTGAATATTTTAGTATTGAT